TTTGAGTATTTAGAAAAGCGCTTTTCAAATAAAATGTAGGCTATTATTATTATTATTATTATTAATTTCCATTTGTATTTGACTCCCTTCATTTATTTGACAGGGCAGGGTCCTTTAAATGAAAGCTATAAACCATTTATTCCGATTTTCCCTGGATAATGTAGGACAACTGCATCAAGTGAACTGACTTACTTTGAAGCAGAGTCATAACAAGCGTGGCTGAAACTAATAATCAGCGATGTCTGTGAGGAGTTGGAGAAACGATATGCATTCTTCAGATGTGGTCTTGAGTCTACTGTTGCATAGCCTTTGGACATGCTCTCTAGTCAGCTGTGGGTCTCCATTGTCACGGTCTGGTTTGCTTTCAACACACCGGCCCTGAAAACATGCTTTTGGTCAAATGCAGGTCACCAACAATATATCTTTTTACTATAGATTATGTCATTGCCCCCTCTGGGAGTTAAAAGTGACAGTGTTATGAGGCCTCAGATTCAGCTTGGCTCTGTACATTTATTCATTAATTGTACCAATTTCCAGCTAATGTAGCAGAAGAAGTGTAGCCTAACCTTAACCTAACCTAACTGACCCTAAAACCAAGTCTTAAACCTAAAATTGAATGGTTAACCGTAACCAACTTTTTGTTAGACCCCATCTTGTGACAATGACGATATGGTGGCCCACTGACACAAATATAAAGCTCATAAACGGCCATTGTTCACGCTTACATTCTTTACGAGTATCAACAGAGATGAAAACAAACAACCATAATTACCATGTACTGTGGTGTAGTATAAATGTCTGACAGTATGCAGTTGAAAAATGAGTGCATTATGCAAGAGGAAAGAGGCCCGACAATTTAAAAATACCTCTTCATCGCAGCCTACAAATGCAATTTAATTGCATTCTTTAAGGTTATGGAACATTGCACATCACACTCTCTTTGACTCTCAAGCAAATATTTCCCATGAATACAAATGCCATAGTTGACACATAACTCTGTGAAATGAGGGGTGTGAGTTTCCACTACAATGATTTGGCGTGAGGCCTAAGTGGTGTGAGTGGGAAAGGTTGACACACCCAGCTGGGAAGTGGTTACTTAAGCTGTACTTTAGCATTCCCAGCGTCCCCTCAGCAACCTTGTGGAAAGACTTTGAAGAGAGAGACCGCAAGCAGGATGAAAACTATCATTATGCAGCGCCCTGTTTACTGTAGTGTGCCCTGGACTGAGCCTGGCCTTAGATATGAAGGATTCTTCATAGATTGTTTATCAAGAAAAACTTTGTAGTGGTAATGGTGCAGCACTGCGGTTTTATATAGAAACAATAGGTGTAACTGAGCAGCTTATGTCTTGAATTCATGCATTATTGATCTACCTCTCACATAACAGTATAGTAGAAAATACAGCAGCATTACCCCTACTAGCGTCTGGACCTTGCGTGTAGGCTATTCACAAGGATTGCATTGCAAGCTGTGATATTGTAGGGTGGTCCACCCTGCAGGGAGGGGCAGGTGAAGGATCAGAGGCGTTGTTGTGCGTTTGAACATAAAAGCAGGGGCAAGAATCTGTGTCAAAGTCTGCAGGCAATGGTGACTTTAAAGCCTGTCTATTGTGCGACTATCACTTGACAAGTGAGGTTCAGGTTCTTAGTTGTGGCATATCTACATTCCTACTCATCACACTTAAAATCACTGTTTCATCTATTTCTACAACTATTTCTGCGTTCTGTTCCTTATGTGCGTCAGTCCTGATCTCTGAGGTACATATAACTTTTTTTTATTCTCACTGTTCACTACCTGATCTGTAGACCAACTGTTGTTGCACTGTATTTTTCTAAGCCTCTTGGTTTTCCTTCTTTAGAATAAAACTGACAAAGATAGCAAAAAAACTCAGATTCTATACGCATGACATAATCAGAAATAAATCCTTTTTTTTTGTTTTGACGTCTCTATTTTGCCATCTCTAGCTGCAAAGCATTATTTTTATTTTCAGGAGGATATGTTTTAGACGCACAGATGATGACATCAATTTGTTTTGTACAGTCTGCGGGACAGACACAACACATAGACATGACAATTAAATACCTAGCTTATTATTATCATTGTCAACACTATATGCCATAAAATCTTCTGGCATCTGACAAAACACCTCGACTTGTGATTTCAGATTGACCCTAAAGTAGGAATGTAACGATACACTATTCGATACGATTCACCTTACTGGGATCATGATATGATTTTCTCACGATTAAAAAAAAAAAAAAAAGATTCCTTCACTTCTCAGACCAAAATCTACTAAACATATTTTACTGTTATACTTTCTTCTTTTGTTTTATCTATTTATTAGTATAAACTGCATAGAACATTGCATATTTCTTTGTAAAAGTGAAACTGATGTCGGAAACAGCCACTGACTCGCGTTACGTAGAGTATCAAACAAGCAAAGTAAAAAGTAGATAACGTACTCTGCTGTTTATAATGAGTATGACGATGAATTTTTATGAAGCCTTATACTCATATTGTATATAGTTGACTGGAGAGGAGGAAGAGAATATGAATAAACACTGTATCTGAGTAAATCTACCCCAACTTCCTTAACAATTTGTTGACATTGCTTCTATATGGGGGCTATTGTTATTAGAATATCTGTTATAATCTGTTTCTTAAGATTAGTGATCATAACTGGTGTCTTTAAAGGTCACCCAACTGACAAACAATTGATGCTGTTGTTGAGTCCTTTGCCCAAACACAAGTAAAATCTAATAAAAAACGATTTTCAATCGTGTGATTGAGGTTTAAATCCAGCTTGTTTTAATATATAATTTCTGCTGTCTCCCATCATTCTTCTCTGTATTGATTGTGAAGTCTCTCACCAAGGTCACCCTGAGGATATCTTCCCCATGGTCCTGACATCAGCCACCCAGGAGCTCTTTGGTTGCCTCGCTGATGAGGACATCACAGGGGAGAGTCCCTACAAGCTGTTGAAAAAAGACGACATCATACAGGACATTAAGACAAGAGCCGCAGTGTCCGATTTCAGCCCTGTGAAGCAGATTGTGCTGGTGAGGCTGATCCATTGTCATACAGATCACTCAGACAATACCCCCAAGACACTGTGATGATACACAGACCCCAAGTTAAGGGCTGTGGGAACAGACCGGTAACCAGTTTAGCCTAATTTCCCCTCTGTCTCTGATCTAGATTAAGTACATGGTAACCACCACTCTGCTTTATGCATTCATGCCCTTTCTACCACAGCACATTACTCTAATGAGACCAGAGAGCGCCCTACAGACTCATCTGTTCTAAGTGCTAAGTAATGTCAGCTTTCTTATTAGGGATACAGCCAAGACCTGGATGTGTGTGTGTGTGTGGTAGTATTTTTCTGCGTTTCTAAAACCCACAACATCAGTCTTCATGTTTGAAATCCACATCTCACTCAACCGTCTACTATCTCGACCAAATTACTGCTGTACCAAGTTTCCTTGTGGTTGCCAGAATCAATTCAAATAAACCACATTGATTATTTCTAATTAAACTCTGTCATGAAAACTGCTGAATGTTCCAAATTCCTTTATCTGACAGGACTATCCAGAGGACGAACTCTTGCTGGTGTATGACAGGGATTTCACCTATGAGCAGTGCTTCTACCTGGTTCTCACACCAGAAGCTAAGGACAGAATCCTCAGTGTACGTTTGGTTATGGTAACAAGGTTCACTTTTTCCTAAATTGCCTTTGTTCTTACTAATGCCGTATCCACTACTTGGTGTTTTGCTGCAGTAGGTTTCTAAACATATCATTATGACATTTCCCTAGTTGTGAGGATAAATGCCTTAGTCATTTAGCATGAACATTTAAGAAGGCCAATTGTTTTGAAATTTTGTAAATGTTTCTTTAATATTGGAGGTATGCACACTATTTTATCACTTATCTTCTACTTTAGTTTGTTTCCAGTTCTTTTTATACTGTATGTTCTTGTAATTGTCTGTGTTCTGCAGCCCCCTGAGCCTGAGACATCACAAGTGCTTGAGAAAGTAGTCAATAAAACCCCAGAACCAAAGGAATGGATATCTCTTGGCAGTGAGCTGGAAATAGATGAAGAATCTATCAAAGAGACCAGAGAAAAGGTACTGCAGTGTATGAAAAACACATTAAATATGCAATATCAAATCTCTTTCTCATTCTCCCTTTTCCCTCTGTCTCCTTTTTGTCATCAGTTGTGGTACAAGTTCTCCAGAGTGCGGAGGAAGTTCGGGGTACCAGTCTGTTTTTCAGACCGCAACACTGCAGATGCGAAGGATGGCTACCTAGAGTGTGCTTCCTATCAAGACAGCAGATTCAGCATCAAGCAGATGCAGAGGGACTGCGGGATACAGGCTGTTCCCAGACTGCAGAGCAGCAGTGCTCAGACACAGTGGTATGCCAGCAAATCAGTGCACATAAAATGAATTTGTTCTAGAGGGAGGAAAAAGCACTTACTGTTTCTGCCAATACCTGTCAGTCTGGGAAAATAATTTCAAATGTTTTAATGCATTACGAAGACAAGACGATTTTAACATTGAATGCAATATTAAATCCCTTTGTGAGAGTATTTTTCTTCATTGTTCATGTATTTATGCTTTATACTTAAGTGGTGCAGATTATGAAGTCATTTATTATAGATACATTCATTAAATAGCATTTACCATATACCATTTTTCTTTCTTTCTTCTTATTGTTTGAACAATACCCATACACACCCACACATGTATTATGTATAATTATGTTCTGCCCACTTTACAGGAAGTTTCAGAGGAATATCTTTACCCAGTACGTGCCAAGAGAGTTAAGTGATGAAGAAAAAGAGAACATCCTCCAGTTTGAGAGTCTGAAAAACTTTTGCAACTCAGTGACTCCCAGGTAAAATTATATATGCTAGTAATTCATGCTGTGTGTCTGTCTGCTTCCTAAGGGAGAATATTGTATAGGAAGACTGATAGTCAACCCAAACTCATACAGTACTGTATTTGCCTCAGGGTACTCGAACTCATGCATTATTACCACTGTAGTGTTAGAATATTCAGAGCTACTGTTACTTTGAGGGAACTGACAGACACCTTCACCTTCCCTGTGTACAACATTTTGTGTTGTTATACTTCACAGACCAGACTTTGGGTTTAAAACAAAAGCTTCAATGTTACATTGTAAGCTTACACTTTCTCACACCCCCAAATGTCCTTTGTGCCCAGGTAAGGGATAAGAGAACATCTGGAGTATAAGAGGACTACATCTGTGGAGAGATATAAAAGTGAAATATTATGCATGTCTTTATAAAAGTTTTGCCTAATTTAACCTAATTTTGTTTTATTTTTTGCAGAGTTTTGCAAGCCCTTCAGCAGGAAGAGATCATAAATGGGTTATTTGATGATTGGAAGGCTCTGGGGGCAGCAGCTGAAGATGGTGACTGGTCTGGGAAGGTCTCTGAAGGTTTGATGCTTTATCAGGCCTTCACAGACCAGAAGTACACTAAGGACAAGAAAATCAGCAGTATCAACTGGCACCCTACCATCTACGGTAAAGTGTAAAATCACACACAAGAAACAGATTTGAACAGATTTTCTCACAAAAAGCATTGACCAAAAGACTAACTCCCTCAAAGCTGTGAGGTCATCATGGACATCCATAATTTCCTGTCTGTTCTTTTGTGGAAAAAATGCATTATTTGGATCAGATTACTTTTGTTAGTGTATCAGAGCAAATGAGGTCAATATGGATACCATGGGTGGGTGCAGGTAGCATTTAGGAGATTATGGTTTTAAATGTCTAAAATAGCATTAGGTTGGAAAATGATGGACAATGTTAGCCGTAAATATAAGTTAAAAAAATGAATGACATTCATTCTCCCTGTGATCTCACTGACACTGACAAGAACCAGAATCTCAAATCCTCATCCATGATAAAAGCAAGCATTATTGTTCTTTACCACGGCTTCGTAATATTTCCCAGCTGTCATCACCAATAGAGTAGGCTTGAGTTGAGCCACCAATTTCTCAAACAGTAAGGTTAAAAAGACATATTTAACATTTATTTTCCTGATGCTGTAAGTTGATACATTGTACGATGTGTTTTTTGATGTGGCAGGTGTGTTAGCTGTGGCTTTGACAGAGCAAAAGGAGGAAAGGACGAAGGACTCCACAACGTTTGTCGTCACACCCTCTGTCATCCTGTTCTATAGCTTCTCCGACCCTTCTATTCCCCAGGTATGGAAAGTATATGACGGGACCCTCTGAGTAAATATGGAGAGTGTATAAGTTGAAAAGAGATTGAAAAAACAGAATTTCTCTATCTCCCTCACAGCTTACAAGCAAATTCTCTCCATTCTCACCTCGTTTCAGACACGCTTAGATCAGAAATGTCTGGAAGGATTTGGTTTGTGCTGTCATTCAAGACCATTATTTGCTTTCGGAAAATTTGAGAGGCTCTATTGATTTGACCCAGGCTCCCAATCAATAAGACTGAGCTGCTAAATTACTCAAAAGTAATATGAGTTCTGCTTGACGTATGCCTTCACTGGTGCATGTGTCATGCTTTGGTTTCACTGTCTCCTGGAGCAGTCATCAAAGTGGCAAAGGGTACTGTGTAGAGGAAAGCAGAGACATTATATAATGGAAATAAATATATTTATTTAGTGTGGGGAGTAAAGTGCTGTAGTTCATTCTTGCTTCTAATTTTAAAACTCCAGCAGATTTAAACATGATGCTGAAAAATGACTTCTCTGTACTGTAATACCATCCTGGGTCTTTTCTTCCCCATATGCCTGATGAAATGGAATCTACTGTATGCATACGGTTTTGTGGATTAAAAGCTGAACTTTTTATGGAGAGACTAGAATAAATAAATAGTCGGGATGGCAAGCACCCAATACATGGAAATGTCTACTTTGAAATACAATATTTCTGCCCTGTGTATGTGGGTTTTCTCTGTTGTTTGCAGTTGCTGCTGGAGTGCCCAGATGACATTTTTGCCTTTGAGTTCTGCCCCTCTGATCCAAATATTATCGTTGGCGGCTGCAAAAATGGCCAGGTGCTGACTTTGACTCTGCTCTGCATCTCTGGTTTGCTGCATCTGCTGCCTTTTCTGGCTTATAGTAGCTTTTGTCCCTTACTACTTTCATAACAATGGAAAATGAATAGAGATAAAGATCACTGATAGGATCAAATAGACCTTCAGCCATGTTAGTCATATCCTGTAAAGTTCCCATGTATTGTCTCTGTTCTTATTCTGCTTTTTACTGACATTTACTAAAATCTCCAACTGATCTCTGATTTCCTGTTGCTCTTGTCTCAGGTTGTGTTGTGGGACATTTCAGCTCACGTCACACACTTACAGGGAACACAGCCTGGTAGTAAAAAGGTCTCTGTCAGCACTGAGACATTTGTAAGTATCCATATCCTGTCTCTAATGTGCACAATGTTGATGCAATGATACATGGTGTTCTGTATCTGTGTTGGTGTATTGCATATGGTATCACTTACCGTAATTCTTTGGCTAGTGATGATGTAAGCCTGGTTTATTCAAGTATGAGCCCTCAGATAATCAAAGCATGCAGCATATTTGCTGTAAAAGACAGGCTGTACTCTTCAGTGGTGCTGTATGACAGAGTGAGATGATGATACGTTGACTCCTGAGTTCTCTCCTCATCCTCACTCTTTCATTAGATGGGAATGCAGTGGCCTAATGGTCTTTTTCAAGCGAGCCACAGCTGTCAAAACTAGTTCCACAAACATACTAATGCCAATCTCAAAGTAAGTTTATATCATTACATGACCCCTCTGCCAAACTAAAGCAGCCTAATAGGGCTCATACAAACACCCGAGCCAGACTGAAGTGATCTTACTGGATTAAAAAACTCTTGACTTAAGACCGAAACTTCAAAGATGGTTTCTTTTATGGCTCAACATCACAGTAAACTAATATTTTCATGGCATATCTTTCCTGTTTAAATGGTATTAAGTGCTGTAGAGTAATAAAGAAAAGGTGGGGGAGAGAGATACATGACAAAAACCAGGGCTCAGATTTAAAACCACAACATAGCAAGTACGTTTAAATCCCCCATATAGCCTGTTGAGACATCCAGACACCAAATATTAAACCCGTTCTGTCTCTTAAAGCCTGACCTCCACTGACATCTTCCACTCGACTGTTGTATTTAAATAGACACATATGCCTCCATCTTCCTGCCCCCAGTTGCTTTGTGTGTTTTTATTGCCTCTACAGTGGAACAGCTGTCACATCCCTGTCCTCTCTCACCCTTCATACCTCCCTCTATTCTCTTTATCCTTGTTTGCTCTTCATTCTCTAGAGTCAACAGCATCAGCTCTCCGTCCTCCACCATAGTGTGTCCCCACAGAGGATAACAACCAAGCAAATCAGATCACTGCCCCCTCTTGTGTTTGCAGTGTAAACAATGGCAGTTGTATCTGCTAAAAGGCTTTATTTCAATAATGAGTGCTGTGAAAGCTGCCCTACACCAGCACCTGTTGCTAGCTTGTCAGATGAACAAAGAATTAAAATCCTCCTGTATAGATTTGGGTTCTGCTCACACCATTTAAATCCAAGTGCACATGCTAAGCAGTATGAGTAGCGCTTTTAAACTACTCTAAAAAGCAGACAAAAGTAAAACGATGTTTGACGTGCTGCTGTGACAACCAGCACTGCAGAAGTTTGGATTTTGTTGAGCTGTTGTTGTACTTTTTCTCCAGGATTAATATATTTTCCGCTCCAGTCTTTGGAGTTTTGTGTTGCAATAAACATAGTTTGTTTTTACATGCTGTATTTGAATATATCGAGCTGGACCATTAGGATAGCTCTTCACCACTGTAAAAAGTCTTTGTATTTAGATTGAATTGTCAGAGCTGACTGTACATGCTGTGCCTTTTGTGTCTGACCTCCCACCAGGACCTCGATGACAACCAAGAGAATAAGACTCCTGTCGTGCGCTACTGTGCAGTGTCTGCCTTAGAGAGCAGGCACAAAGCCCCAATTACTGATGTCCAGTGGCTGCCACCAACGTTTGAGGTACACAGAGATGAAGGGCAGAGGGGTGGGAAGGGGTAACAACTGCAAATCTGACATGAAACACTGAACACTTTATAGAGTTATTTCTTGCCATTTTCCATCAGGGGAGCATTAGGTAAGTGCTGGAACGTTCCACAAGGTTAAACAGTATTTCATTTGGCCTCTCTTGATTAATAAAAAGGTGTTTTGTGTGACCACACAGCAGTGGTTTCAGCAAAACATTCTTTAGTGTTTTCTTGATCTCGAGCTGCTTTTATCATATCTAATGTAAACACTGTGGCATAGTTTCCAACATACCGGAGGCAACTAAAGTATATTTTAATCTTTTACATCTAAGTCTCAAATTGATAAAGAAACATTAAACACTTAACAGGTCAGGTCTCTTATTGCTTTAATGATTTCTATATCTAGGTTTGGAACATTAACAGACTTTTTATCTGATGGTTATAAATCACTTGAATGTCAACAAAACTAACAGCAGGTAAGGCAATATTGGACACGGAGTAATCAGGGCAGAGAAAGGGCTATAAAGGATAGAATGTAATACATTGAGGAACAAAAGTAATGGAAAAAGACGGCACTGCCACATAAAATTGCATATTTAGCATTGCCTCACAATTTTTTTTTATACTGACAGACTTTCCTGTTCCAAACACCTGCAGAAAATAATATATGTGGTCCTGTCTCGTCTGGTGGCCCAGCTTAAAATCCTTTATTTTAATCTTCCATACAATACATGTAAAAATGTATTGACCTGAAGTTTACTGCAGTGACACAATGGTGTTTGGGCTGTAACACAGCACACAAACAAGTGCAATAATAACTGTGAAAGGTAATGCCAGCAGTCATAAAAATATTTATACAGTAATAATGAACTTTGGTCTCACACAGATTAAATAAATGATTACAGGCCACAGATCCTAAGCTTGTTGTTTGGTGTTTTTAAAAGCTTCTTCATGAAACAATGAATACATTATCATTCTCGCTTCCCATTGGTGCCTTTCTCTCATGTCTTTATAGCCAACTATAATAAATCATGACAACCACTGGCACTCATCTGGATAAGTAAAATAAGGCAATCATCAAAGTGCCCCCGGGGGCACATTAAGCTCCAATATATCTTCAGGAACCTTGTTCACTACCATCAGCTCTGTACAATTCTAAGCCTGACAGACATTTGTTGATTTTGTGACTCTCTCTCTCTGATTAGGTGACCAGGACGGGCTTACCTGTGGAGAACAAGTATAACATTTCTGTTCAGATTGTCACCTGCTCCCCTGACTGGTAGGTCAATAATAAATGTTACATTTATGAAAATTCTGGCATCTTGTAGCCAATATAACCAAGTGGCATATGACAGATTTTGTCTTAACAAGTAGCCTGTTTCTGTATGATTAAAAAAAATATGGTTGGCAGCTACGGAACATTTCTTGCTATCTTTGATTTATTATTATTGCCGCCCTCACTGTTCCCTTGTCATTCTTTGGAATTCAGTATTATCAGTCATTGTTAGTTGTACTTGTGTACGGTGTTGGCACTGTAGATACCAGAATAAGCTGTTTTGCTGTCGTTGGTGTTTGTATATATGTGTCATACTAATTGGTGGTTTATGCCCTGCCAAAATCTGACCATTTTTAACCTGTAACCCTTTATGACCAACCATGTATAACACATTTGCAACTGCCAGTGTTATTTTTAATAGCAGTCAAATATGTTTGGAAATTGTGTTATCAGGGTTATTAAAACTGACACTGTTCCATGTGAGGGCAGTCATAGATGAAGTACTTTTATTTTTACTCTTTTGCTAGTGCTTATAGTCAAGTAAAACAGCAGTAGAAATACTGTTTTTCAAGTAAAAGTCATACTCATTCAGAATAATGTATATTATATTATTGCATTATAATAATTGATGCATTGATGTGTTTATCAGCTGGTAAAGGTGGGGCTAATTAAATCTTATCTATCACTGTGACACAACCAACATCTGCCACTGTACGGAGGTTCTCATTGGACAACGTAAACAAAAACTAGACTGACTTGTCCTCGCCCTGCTGAACATACTGTAACAGTTAGATATTTAAGAGCTTTGGTCAGTCAGTGTCTTCTGTTGCCAGATTACAGGTCCCACTAGACTGTGTTTTTCTGTGGTTTACTAGTTATATCATCATTGTTTGTATCCCACACAAACATGTTTGTGAATTCCTGTCACATATTCTGAAGGCCCTAAATGTGAACGTACATAGCAAGGCATGGCAGAGTTGTTGATATAGTGTACTGATTTATTTCAGCATTCAACAGTTCCAGTGTTTTCTATGTTTGAACAGTGAAATAGTAATTGTGGTGTGTTTAGTAACCTTTCAGCTAATATACCAGCTGTTGTCAAAGCAGTCTGTTTTTCTTGTAGCTTTGCTTGTTATGTATTTGGAGGTCTGGGTTATGTACAGTACTGTGGATTGGTGGTGAACGGGTCGAAGGGGGTGCCAAAGTACTGCTCACTGTCAGCAGTTATTGGCAGTACCATATTTGGAGAAAATTCAGTTTCCCCTGAGTCTGTATCAGTCAATATTCATGGTTTAAATATGAACAAAGGTATTCAAGTTTTGTTTTGTTTTTTCAGGTTGATAGTAATTTTTCATTCCACTGTTTGTCTCTCCTCTAAAGCACTATAATGTTCTGGGATTTGCGCATGCAAAGGTTATTCAGCCACTCAGCAACCGACAGAAAGCAGAGTGTGGATCAGAAGACCCAGATGACACCTTACAGTGTCCCTGACACTTTCAAATATCTGGACCGGACTTGGAAACCTCTTTTCAGGGTACTGCAGGGCTTGAGGGTGCAATACACATAATCACAAAAAAAATTTTTGGAATTCAGTTTAGATTATTTCTAATTTACACAATTAAATTCAATTAAGTATTGAAAATTAACACAATCAGAAGGATTTTGGAGAGCAGAATAAACCACAATGTCAATGTAATATTATGTCCAACTTAAATTTAAAAGCTCTGTCTATGTGTGTATTTATGATGTATTTCTGTGTATTCAAAAGGAATACTATGTATATAATGCTTTTTAGTGTGCAGTTGCTTGAGCATAGTCTGTGATTTTGTTTAAAAAACAACCAGTTCTTCAAATGTCTAAAACTGTCTTCTCTTCTGTCATGTGTCAGGTTTCCCTGCCAAAGATCGATACCAGTGGAGAATACGCTCCTTTGAAGTTCAGCCTGGAACACTACACCTGTAATGGTAATACAGGTAGGACCACAGGTGAGGGAGTTTGAAGTTTGAATATTTTTTTTAAAAGGGACAATGCACATTAATTAAGATTTACCCTTGAGGCTGCCTCAGTTTGTTGCACTAGATTGTCTGAAAGAGAAATTTTTTTGGTCACACTGTAACCGGGGTAAAGAATGAGATAAAGTAAAATTCAAATTGCAAGTTCAAAATGTAAAACACAAATTGGCTTTGGAGTAGTCCTGGTCTCGTTCCGTTTTCTTCTTCAGAACATTGCAGGTGAGAGGAAAGCTTGCTTTGTGAAGGTGAACAATTTATGAAGTATTTGGATTTGGAGCCTTTTTGTGAGGAAACCAAATAATAAACATTTCAAACATATCTATTCCATGTCTGATAGTTCTCAAATATGTGTGCAAGACTGCGAGTCTATTTTGGGGGGAGGTATGGGATTCTTTAATTCTGCTTTGGATGGTTGAGCACAGTGATCAGTGGGGCAGGGTTCACTCAGCTCTCAGGTACTCTCCTTCTCCATCCGTCTCCCTCTTCTCTCCTCCAGTTTCATAGCACTTTATTAAGTGATACTTCCAAACAAGGCCCTCATAGTTGCAGAGAATTAGCCTTGCTGACTGTCAGCTCTTTGCAATATGCTGCCTGGGCTTCGAGGGCCAGAAGACAATCGTGTGTGTCCTGGCTGGTCAAGAAGAGACCTGTCTTTGTCTGGCTGAAGGTCTGCCTCCATAAACACAGCTTTGGTGGCTGGCGGTTATAGAATTAATATGTTCACTAACTGAGGCAATAAATCTGCTGCTTTTTTTCCCCCCATCAGCCCTCAGGCAGTCTGTTATTAAGGTTTTAAATGAATCCCTGTGTGATTAATACTTTGGTGCTACTTAAGATGTTTGGCTGATATTAATTGAGTCTATGCTGTCTCTGAGATATATATTCAACATTTTGTTCTGTGCCTTTTTATAGTTTCTGATGCTGTAGTCACTGTAGAAAAGCTCCACTCTGCCCTGCAACAGCACCACATAATTTTCCACACCAAGTTTTTGGAACCCCTTGTAGGGCTTAAGCAATAGTTGAGCAGCAGTGCAGTGTGGTAAAAGTGAAACACTGTCTACATCTGTAGCTGTGCTGTATCATCTGTCTCATATCTTTACACACATCTTAACTGGGGGAAAGTGGATTTAGTAGATGTGTGATTGGGTAATCTGATCTGACCTTCAGAAGCTAATCTAGCAGAGTGAGGCTGAGGCTTGATTGGGAGCGGCCCGCTGATAAGGGGGTGTGAAGGGATAGTCCTGTTCTGTCCCTGACAGACAGTTGGGCTTTTGTGATGGGAAAGGCCTCTTCCATCACAACCAGTCTTGCCTATCTCAACCGTCTCACCCTTCTCCCTTACTGTCCCCCCTTTTCACCACAATCCTCACTCCCACCTCCACCTCCTTTCTTTCCCTCTCCCCTCATATCCCCTTTTACCAACCCATTCACCTCAGTTGTACCCCTCCCCACCTTCCTCTCTTTTGTCCTTCTGCTGTCTTGTTCATGGTCAGATTACAGAGCAGGCTGCACCAATGCCACTGTTCACTCTCTTTTATTGTAGTCTCCATTTTAGATAAATAATAGATCTTTCTTTCCTGATAAGTCAGTAGTGTTTTCAAATTATTGCCCATTGTTCTTCACTTACTGTTGTGTTTTCCTTTGGTTTAAAATGCACTGCAAATAGCTGAATCTATAACCACTGCTAACTTTGTGCCCTTCTCCAAACACTCTCTTTATTTCCCCTTACAGAAGAAGATAATGAAAATGATGAAGATGATAGCTCAGAGGTTATCCTAGACTACAGCCAGCTCAGAGTGCCTTCAGCTAAAACAGCTACAACTCTAGAGGATGTCAATACCAAGCTCTATATTGGAACAGAGGTAAAGATTCCTACCAATAACATCAAGCAGTATTTTACTTGAATGCATGAGCTTCATGTGACCACTAAACTGCCCTAAGGAAATCATTCTTCACTATGAGCCTTTGTCTTTGTTCCATTATTAATATCCAGGATGGGGAAATTGTTCACATTGACTGGAAACTGGAAAAGGATGACTCTGGACGTCTGCAAAGTGAGTATTCTGCCTTGCCATTATTAAAGTAAGTTTAAAGGGACATAAACCCATTAACTGCAAATCATGGATTCTTGACTATTTGGACCAATGTCCAAAGCAGACTAGTATGCAGTTTCATGTCTTGAGATAAAATAAGCCTTTGACAGTTATAGGTTTAAATACAACAACAATTATATCAAAATTATTTGAATCATTTTAATTACTACTATCACTGTAAGTCTCCTCTTTGGTTTGGCAGCCATCCTGATGTAATCACATTTATAAATTAGTTGATACCTTTACAGGGAAACAGAGGGTTAATTGTTCGTTGTATTGCATTGCCCTAGTTGCTCAGTGGAAGCAAATTACTGTCAAAAATAATATTGCACCTTCTCTTCCTGTCTCTCCTGTCTCCCAGGTGCCAAGCCCCTTGACTGTTTTAACGTCCATCACTGGTTGGTGAATACGGTACAGCGGTCGCCCTTCTACAAAGACATTATTCTGACAACGGGAGGCTGGAACTTCGCCATCTGGAAGGAGGGAGTCATGGTAACACCACCCGTCACCTCAAGTACAATAGCAAAAAGTATTGCTACCAGTTAAAAATCATACCCACTTGTTTGACTGAATTAGAATAAAATTTATGATCATGACGCAAATGATCAAAGTTATCCTAGACTTTTAATATAATCAGTCCTCTGATCTTTATCCAACAGACCAGATTTATTCATTATATATTATTTTATCATATTTTATATCCACTGACTCTATTTGACTACGACTTTCAGGATGGCCCCATCATCCTGTCACCAAGCTCTGAGCAGGTGTGCACCTCGGGATGCTGGTCCCTGTCCCGACCAGCTGTTTTCTTCATTGGGAAAGACGATGGGAGCATTGAGGTGTGGAACCTGCTGGAAAAGACCAGTGAACCTGCGCAGGTCCACGCACACATCACAAATTCCAAGATAACCTGCATCAAACCCTGGACCGCCTCCTGTGAGTTCTTGGCCTCTTACTAAAACACAGTAGTGAGCATATGTGTGGCTCCATTGAGAAGGCATTACTTGTTGACTTACTATGTTTTGTTTCCAACATTTGTGTCTCACACACTATTAATGTGTTTGCCTAAATGACAATAAATGGAGGTATGCCTATGATCAGAAACTTGCTACAAACACACAATATATATCAATCAAGTAATCACACTTTATTTATATAGCACCTATAAGGTTAATGCCATTCAAAGTCTTGACTGATGCTTGACTTGATTGATAATGAGAAATGACAACTGTAAAACAGTTTGAGACTAATGCACACAAGAAATGAAAATGTAATAATGAAAATAAATAGTGGCCATAAAACATTCTAATATACTCTCTTGCTGCTGTTAATGTCTGTTTTACTTTACTACTTTTTTTATGTACAGCCAAGCAGCACTTCCTGACTGTGACTGATGACGTAGGAATGGTCCGTGTATTAGAAATCCCAAAGGTACTCTACGTTCCCACCAGGAATGAGGTAAGACAGTCTAACCACCTCTTATGTACTCACTTTAAAGAATATTATTGTTATCTGTTAACTTATTATTATGTAAAAAGAAATAATAATGTACTCGGTGAAGGTTGCAAACAAAATCCAGCACTGCAGCACATTTACTGCATTAATATTAAGCCAGTCCACATATACGAAATTCTAATTATAGGCATGCTGGTTCCATGATCATCAAAACTCTAGTGTTGTCAGAGAAATTAAGATTATGGGTTATTGTGACATAGTCACAAGTTTATTTAATGGCTGCCTGACCACTATACATCATTCATTATAACCGCCATCTTTCTCCTTTGTCTGTATGCAGAGTTTGAGTGTGAAGAAATACTTTGAGCTGGAGGAAGAAAGCTTGAATGATTTTTTGAAGAGGAAAGAACTGTGGGCACAACAGAAGAGGGAAGCTGAGGAGCTCAAGAGGAAAACGGTGAGCTGAGGATTCTGACAGTAGAATAAATTAACAGGATTTGAGCGGACATTTTGTTTTAAGTAATCCCCTCTGAGTAAGGTTTCAAGAGTCTTAATAGTCAATCATCGATCAACCTGGGATCACTATAAATTACAGTCAATAAAAACGGCCAACCCTGTTTCTTCCCTTTTTGCTCCAACTTCTAAAAAATGTGATAAAAGTTAAAATATTCCATTCTTCCTTTTGTTGGTGACCCCCTAAAACCCACTGCAGGGCATCTGGTAGTCCCTGGACTAGGGCTGGGCGATATGGACCAAAAGTCATATCCCGATA